CTCCCTTCGTGGTATTTTCACAACCCGAGGAGGTATAGGAACCTTCCGCAGTGACTCCTCTCGCGACGCGAGGATATCCGCCCCCGACGTGCCCCAACGGCCTTTCCGCCCCCGCAGCGCTGTCCCGGACGCGCGCCGCGCGGCCCGCCCCGCCGGCCAATGTTCGGTGGCAACTCTTGGAAGCCTCCCATACCCCCTCGTCGGCTCATGCGACTCGACGCTGATCGACGCAAAATCGACGCTCATCGACGCTGACCGACGCCAAATCGGAGCCATCTCATCGACTCGCAGACGCTAATCGACGCTGAAGACGGAATGAAAAGGGTATGCAAGGCTCCCATGATCTGCTGCCGAACCATGACGTCGACCCTCAAAGGTCTCGACCCATTCATTCCCCTGGGCCAACTTTTCCTCCTGAGTCGTTGACGCTCCCCAGGCCCGATAGGGACCCCCGGAGGCCGAAAATAGCGAAAAGCCTCCCGTCGTGATGTTTTCATTGCCCTGGGATGTCAGCCCCCGACGTGCCCCAGCGGCCTTTGGGCGCCCTCGCCGCCGCTGCCCCGGACGCGCGCCGCGCGGCCCGCCTCGCTGGCCGAGGCTCATGGGCAAACTTTCCACCACCCCTATCACATGTAGGAACGGGGAAGAAGGGAGGATGAGGAGGTCCTCTTCCTCCTCCTCCTCCTCCTCCCTCTCCTTCCTTCTTCCTCATCATATTCTCTCCCCTCCTCCTCCTCCTCCTCGTCCTCCTCCTCCTCCTCCTCCTCCTCCTCCTCCTCCTCCTCCCCCTCCTCCTCCACCCTCCTGGGAAAGGGGCGCGCCGCGCGCCGCGCGGCCTTCCGCGGCGCCGCCTCGCCGCTCGGCCGCTCGAGCGGCTCCGCGGCGCTCGAGCGGCGCTGCTGCGCGGGCGCGAGGGGCCGGGCCTGCGGCCGCCGGAGGGAGCGGGCGACGGGGCGAGGCTCAGGTCGGGCATTCCCCCCACAGGCAGATTTTGAATGAAAAATCAAAAACACCCAAACGATAATCCAAATTGGGCAATAAAAAGAAATGCTCAAAACAAATCATCCCATGACTATTTTTTGGGTGGTTTGCAGTGTTCCCCTGTAGAGGGACAGGCCTGAGAGAAGGTGAGGCCGCGGCCACTGCATTGCGGCGACCGCGGCCAACGTTGAGCAGGGACCGACCGTCCAGGCATTCCTATAGGCCTACCACGAAATGCCCCTAGAACCCAAACATGTTCTAAGAGCAAAGACAAGGTTCTTAGAACATGAACCCGACGTGTCAAGACAGGACAATATCGGCCAGAAATGTTCTAAGAACATTGCGCGCAGACCACACACGGTTCTTAGAACATTGCTTGGTGGGCCTATAGGCAAGCCAGGACGCTTCGCCACAGCTTGACACTGGCTGGGGCGGGTCCCGGCGATAGGGCCCCGAGAGGCAGAAGGTGGAGAAAACCTGCGTCCCTCAGCGTGCCATGTCGAGCCTGGACAAGACATCGGGTCCGAGGGATCTGCCATTTGAGATCGGGTCGGAAGAAACAGGTCAGAGCAGGAAGGGCGCAAAGATGCTGGCGCCTCCATTTTTCCGAGCCGGGCACTTTCGTTCTTTTGTCGGGCCCCGGGACTCTCACGGATCGATCCGGCTCGAAAATGACGCAGCAAGATGGGATCCAGGCGTGATTTTTACGATGCTATTTTTTTCCGCTACGTCGGATCTCAGGGTAATTAGGAAGGCGGATAAAAGAGGTTGGGCTCAGGCCCTCCCAGATAATCTCAACACACAGCAAGAGCACACCGGCTCCTGAAGTATAGCAAGGCGCTTGAAGCAGGCTGGGAGCTGGGAGACCAATGACAAGACCTACTTGCCAAGACTGGCGTGCACAGTCAGCGGCGCTGCTGCGCGGGCGCGAGGGCCCGGGCCCGCACCCGCCACGAACAAGATCACGACGGGCGGCTCGTCGCTACTTTCGACCTCGGGGGGACCGTATACGGCGGGTCCGTGTCGTGACGACCGCAGCGCTGGTTCCTGACATCGCGTGGATCGTTCAATCCGGCCCATCGATTGCCAAATCGTTCCATCTTCGGGGCCGGTTCTGGGCCACTGGCGGCGTTCAGCCTTGAACGCCCGCGGCGGGGTCGCCGCTGGTCGTCACGACGCGAGCCTACTGTACCAGGCCTCGGGACCGTCCAAAAACGGCTTTTGGGAGGAAAAACCGGTCCAGGGGAATGGGTCGAGACCTCTGGGGGTCGACGCCATGGAAAAAATCGTGGCGTGGGGGTCGGGCGGCGGGGCGGGGCCGCGGCCGCCGGCGGGGCCTCCAGAGGCACGCCGGTCGTAAGGAGCAGGTCAGAGCAGGAAGGGCCCGGAGACCCTGGCGTCCCCAGTTGGTTCGAGCCGGGCGTCGGGCCCCGGGGCCCTCACAGATCGTTCCGGCACGAAGAATGATCGCAGAAAGGTGGGGGCTGCAGCCGCCGGCTGGCGGGCGATGGGGCGGAGCTCCGCGGCCAGTGGCTGGGCCTCCTCCAGTGCAGTCGGGGGGCGACCAGGAGGAACGCCAAATCAGGAACGGAGCCCCTCTTCGGCCCCAGAAGCGCCCAGGTGCACGAGGAGTGATACAATCAACCCGTATGATGAGGGCACGCGATGAGGGTGCAAGGGCCTTGGAAGGCCATACCGACACTTTGCAAGCGAGGCGCGGCCAGCGAGAGCGGCCAAGGATGGGCCGAAGAGGAAGGGTGCAAGGGTAACCTTGGAAAGTTGCTCATCCTTACCATGCGGGTTGACTGTGCAGTCGAGGTGCTACCAGAAGGAACACCAAGCAAGGAACGAAGCCACTGTTTGATCCCAGAAGCGCCTAGGTGCACAAGGAGTGATAGAGGAACAGGCATGGAAGTGGAAGAGCAGTCAGGACCAGTTAGCCCCTTCCGAGCCCAAAGCGGTCCTGACTGCAGCGCCTTGGCTGTAAGACATCCAATCTGAGGGGTCGGCCTTGCAAGGTCCTGGGAAGCGCATCCTACCCCAGACGAACCCTGAGATCCGACGTAGCGAAAAAAAATGCAACATCGCATAGAATCCTGCCCGGAGCCCTAGACCCCATTTTTCGAGCCGGATCGATATGTGTGGGTCCAAGAGCCCGTATTGGAGCGAAGCCGCGCGTTGGGGTAAAAATCAACGCCAGGATCTCAGGGATGGCCGACCAAAACCCAGCAAAAATCTGTCTGGGCTCGACTGGCACGCTGGGACGGCGGCTTTTCTCCACCTTTTGCCTCTCGGGGCCCTCGCCAGGCCCCGGCACCGGCAAAAAACGAGGGTGAAGTCCTTGGGAAGGGGGTCAAGGCTTCCGGGGGCCCCGCGTTGAAAAACACAAGATCCAGACCCCCGACGTGATGTTTTCACAACGTCGACCCCCAAAGGTCTGGACCCCGTCCCCGGGACCGGTTTTGAGTCCTGCGCCGCTCTTTGACGGCCCCGAGGGCCGGTGAGGGCCCCGGGAGGCAAAAAAAGAGCGGCACATTGCCTCCCGTCGCGATCTTTGTCACAACGCGAGGGGGCTGAGGGGGACATCGGATCTGTGGGGAAGTTGAGCAGGGACCGACCGTCCTGGCATTCCTGTCGTCCTACCACGAAATGTTCTTAGATCTTAGAACCCCAAACATGTGCTAAAACAAGACAGGCTCCGCCAGAAATGCTCTAAGAACGTGTCGTGGAAACCACAGAAGGTTCTTAGCACATTGTTTGGTAGGGCTATTAGGCGAGCCAGGACGCTTCGCCACTGCTTGAGTAAGATGCCAGGCCGCGACGCACTGGAGCGAAGGCCGGGGCCTGCCCCGGCAGAGGAGGCGGCCAGCGGCGAGGCCAGGGCCACTGGCACGCTGGCGCGCGGCGAGGTGCCAGAGCTGAATCGTCCTCCCCTTCGTCCTCCTCCCCCCCCTCCTCCTCCTCCTCTTCTCCTCCTCCTCCTCTCCCTCTCCTCCCTCCTCCCCCTCCCCCTCCCCTCATCCTCCTCCTCCTCCTCCCTCCTCCTCCTCCTCTCCTCCTCCTCCCTCCTCCTCCTCCTCCTCCTCCTCCTCCTCCTCCTCATCCCTCCTCCTCCTCCTCCCCCCCTCCCCCCTCCCCTCCCCCTCCCATCCTCCTCCTCCTCCTCCTCCTCCTCCTCCTCCTCCTCCTCCTCCTCCTCCTCCTCCTCCTCCTCCTCCGCCGCAGGCCCATGCGAGAAGGAACCCTGCTGCAAGAAACCTTGGGGCACACGCTGCGTCGATCTCTGAGGGTCCCCAGACCCCCTCGGGCAACGAAAAAAACGCAGCGGGAAGTTTGGCGCTATTTTCGGCCTCCGGGGGCCCATCACTGGGTCTCGGGACCGCCGAAAAACAACTTAGGATGGAGAACCAGTCCCAGAGACCCAGAAATGCGACGTCCTGATTCGGTCCATGCGGGGTCCCTGGAAGACCCATCCTCAGGACCAGTTTTTCGTCCTGGGTCATTTTCAAAGGCCCCGAGGCCCGGCGAGGGCTCCCAGGGGCCGAAAACGGCCAAAAACCGCCCGCCCTGATTCTGTGCGACGCGACCATGTCTGGGGAAATGGTCTGGACCTCTGGGGGTCGACGCTGCGAAAAAATCACGACGTCGGGGGTTTGGGGAGTTGGCCCATGCGATAAGAAACCCTGCTACAAGAAACCTTGGGGCACATGTTTCGCCGATCTCTGAGGGTCACGAGGTGCCCCAGAGTTTCTGTGGGCCCCCGGGGCCGTCCGGGAACAAGATGTTTCCGCGGGGAGGCCACGGCCACGGCAGGGGGAAGGTAGAGGTGGGGAAGGGGCGCCCAAATCCCCGACGGCATGACTTTTTTCTTAATCGGCGCTTTTTCCTCGATCTCAACCCTCGGGGGCGGTTTTTCGGCCCCAAGGCCATCAAAATGATCTGGCACAAAAAACGATCCCCCAAGGGAGAGAAGGGTCGGCACGTCGGATGTGCCCTGACGACGCGCCATGCCGTGCAAGCGGCCAGCGTGTCGCTCTGCTTCGTTGGTCGGGAGGCTCGGGAGAGCTCGAGTCGATGATGCGTGGGGACCTCCTCCTGCTCTTCCTCTCTCCTCCCCAACGAGAGAGAGGGCAGACGACGACGACGACGACGACGACAATGACGACGACGACGACGACGCCGACGACAACGTCGACGACCATGACGACGACGACGACGACGACGACGACGGCGACGACGACGTCGTCGACGACGACGATGACGACGACGACGACACGACGACGACGACGACGACGACACGACGACGACGACGACGACGACGACGACGAAGGCGACGACGACGACCACGACGACGACAACGACGAGGACGACGACGAAGGCGACGAAGGCGACGACGACGACGACGACGACGACGGCGACGACGAACGACGACGACGGCGACGACGACGACGACGACGAAGGCGACGAAGGCGACGACGACGACGACGACGACGACGGCGACGACGGACGACGACGACGACGACGACGAACGACGACGAACGACGACGACGAGGGCGGCGGCGGCGGTAGCGGCGGCGGCGGCGGCGGCGCAGCGGCGGGCGGGGCGAGGGGGCTGCGGGGCCCTCGGCTGTAGCGCGCGGCCCGCTCGCGGCGACGGGGGCTCCGCCTGGGGCGAACGAGGAGGAGAGGTCGAGGGATCGAGGAGGGATCGAGGAGGGATCGAGGATCGAGAGATCGAGGAGGGCTCGAGAGGGAAGCGAGGATCGAGGGATCGAGGAGGGATCGAGGAGGCATCGAGGAGGGATCGAGGAGGGGTCGAGGACGAGGGATCGAGGAGGGATCGAGGATCGAGAAAACGAGAACGGGGAGGGATCGAGGAGGGAAGACGACAAAAAGACGACTGCAGGGCGTTCTGGCCGCATCTCTTGGACCTCTGGGGGGCTTGGCGCCTCCACGGGATGCCCCTTGAAGGAGTAGGAGTAGGAGTAGGAGGAGGAGGAGGAGGAGGAGGAGGAGCACTTGCAGCAGGAGGACCAGAGTAAACCCAGGATGCGTCGGCGATGCTGCCTGAAATGGTGCTCCCCCCCGTCCCAAGTCTCCTCATCATACGTCGAACATCGGACATCGGACATCGGACCTGCGGCTGTCGCCGGCTGGAGCCTCGCAGGTGTGCGCCGTAGCGCCAGGCATGTGAACCATGTGAGATGCAGGAGAAGCAGTTAACAGAGGCACGTTACTACATCCTTCGCATCAGCATTGTCATCATTATCAAATATAATATCACCGCCTTCTTCTTCTTCATCATCATCATCATCGTCATCATCATCATCGTCATCATTACCATCGTCATCATCATCATCATCATCATCATCATCATCAGCATCATCATGTTTATCATCATCATCATCATCATCAGCATCATCATCAGCACCATCATCATCATTTGTTCATCATCGTTTTCATTATCATGTTTCATCATCACCAGCATCATCATCATCAGCATCATCATCATCAGCATCATCATCATCATCATCATCAGCATCATCATCATCATCATCATCATCAGCATCATCATCATCATCATCATCATCATCACCATCATCATCATCATCGCGATCATCATCGTGATCATCATCATCATCACCACCATCACCATCATCATCATCAGCATCATCATCATCATCAGCAGTGTCAACATCACCCTCATCTCATCATCATCAGCAGCATCATCATCAGCATCATGATCATGATCAGCATCGTCATCATCATCCTAAACATCATGCGCACCCTCCTCCTCCTCCTCATCATCATCAGCATCATCACCAGCATCACCATCATCAGCGTCGTCGTCGTGGCCCTCGTCGTCGTCGTCATGATCATGATCATGACCATGATCATGATCATGGCTATGACCATGATCATGATGCTCTTCATCATCAGCAGCAGCATCATCAGCGTCCTCTTCGTGGTCCTCGTCGTCGTCGACATGATCATGAGCATGATCATGATCACGCCACCATCCTCGTCGTCGTCATCGTCATCTTCAGCGACATCGTCCTCGTCCTCGTCCTCGTCATCATCATCGTCATCGTCATCGTCACCGTCATTATCAGCATCAGCATCAGCAACAACGTCATGGTCACCAACGGGCATTCCTTACCACAGCGGAAAGCACATTCCTAATAACGAGAGTCACGTGGGCATGCCGTTCGAGCGGGAACTGTGTTTCGAAAATGGGCCGCCCGGGATAGGATCATCAAGTTTCGCGAAGCCATCAGCGAGAGCACGCTTTGGAAAGATGGGCAGCCCTCCCTCCGCGGCCATGCTGCACACTGCTAGTAGATCGCCTGGCCACAGGAAATCCTAAGATGCCGACTTTTGAATAGGAGCCTCCCTCCTTCCGTGTATAGCTGCTGCACACGTGTGACCCCCTGGCCCTCAGAGTTGAAGCAGTCTCAGGCGAGAGCCCCAGGGAATGGGGGCAACTCCTTGGAAACCACGCGGGCACCCCTGAGCTCCAGCCCCGTTCCGTTGGAGAAGCTCGTGGGCGTGGCCAGCGAGCCAGGCCTCCTGCCCAGGACCTCGACCCGCGGCGAGAGGGACGAGCGCGGCAACAAGAGGCCAGCTGCCCCCTCCCTCGCTTTGCGCATGACCCGATGCACGGATATGCCTCTGCGGCGGCGCTCGGCGCCCACTGCGGCCCCCCTCCCCGCCCGCCGGCCGCGCATCGGACACCGGGGGCGGGGGCGAGCGGAGCGGAGAGAGGTGGGGAGCAGGCCTGGTCTATCCGCACTCCCTTCCAATCGGCCCGCCCGCCCCCCCCCCTTCCCCGTCCGCACCTCTCGCCGGCCGCCTGCCATGAGGAGGAGGAGGAGGAGGAGGAGGAGGAGGAGGAGGAGGAGGAGAAGGAGGAGCTGGAGGAGGAGGAGGAGGAGAACCAGTGTTAACCCAAGAGTCATCAACGATGTTGGAGTAAACCCTCCCTCCAAGCTCCCTCTTCACAGGCCCCCACTACGGTTCATTCCCATTGATGGAACTGCCTCGTGGGAAGACACCCTGTTGAAGACCCTGAAGCATGCCAAAACATTGTTCTCGGGATTCCAACGCCACGGATCAACCTGACTGTTGCGTCTTGACGATCCTGAATCATGCCAGAACGCCATTCCCAGGACAACACAGAGAATCGATGCAGCTATTACAAGCGGCACGTGTGTGCCCAGGCTCATACAACAAGCTGAAGGGGCGTTTGAAGCAGGAGTGACATGCAACAGCGAAGTCGCACTCGAGCGCAAGTGGGGTTGCCACACCTTGCGATGTGTGTACCAGGGCCCCCCAGGAAGCCTCAGGAGGCCCGACTTGGATACCAGAAGAGGCTCCAGGAGGCCCCAGGATTGTGAGTGTTGTGTGTGTGATGTGTGCTTTGTGTGGTGCGTGCTTTTTGTGTGTTGTCGGTGTTGTGTGTGTGTATGTTATGTTTGTCTAGCGTGTGATGTGTTGGGCGTGATTTGTGTCTCTGTGTGCGCATGTAGTTCTGAAGCCCCAGGAGGCCCCAGGCGGCCTCAGCAGGTCCAGGAGAACTCCAGGAGGCTCCGAGGCGGGGTCTGGGGTATCAGAAGGTCCAGAAAGCCCCAGGAGGCCCCAGGAGGTTCCAGGAGGCCCCCAGGAGGCTCCGAGGAGGGGTCTGGGGCTCGATTTTGGGAGGATGTCTCAGGCGAAACCGCCATTCTCTGAGAATCGGGGTCAAAATTCTTGAAATTACAATTTGTTTTTGAAGGTTTTCTGTTCAAATGTTGAACTTCCCATGTGTTTTTGGACCCTGACGTCACGATCTGCGTGAGGGGTGCCACCGATTTTCAGAATTTCGAGGATGTCCCGAGCGAAACGGCCAGAAAAATCGCGAACGACGTGCGCATTAATCGCCTCTGAGCTCTACTCCCTCGGAGAGGTGCGTATGAGAATACCCGTATAATCCTGAATCCTTCCAGAACGCCATTTCTGGTACGTTGATGATGGGAATCCGTGAATCTCTTGACAATGTTTAAAACGAATGTGCACGGCGCTACGGCGAGAACCACATTTTCAAAACCACCCACCCTCAATCCGTGAAACTCTGGCAATTTTGTTAAACGAATGTGCGCGGCGCTAAGGCGAGAGCCACATTTTGAAAACCACCCGCCCACATGTTGAAAACCACCCGCCCTCAATCCGTGAAAATCTTGCAAATGTTTCACACGAATGTGCGCCGCGCTAAGGCGAGAGCCTCATTTTGAAAACCACCCGCCCTCCATCGTTTAAGCTGTTGCCATCTGTTGCCAACCTGTAAGCTTCAGAGTCATACATGGTGAGAAAGTCTGAGGCGAAAAGCCCAGCACACCCTAAAAACTGGCCTCGGGGTGCGACAGGGAGAAATCACTGATATGGAACAGGAATGGTGGAGGAGGAGGAGGAGGAGGAGGAGAGAAGGGGGAGGAGGAGGAGGAGGAGGAGGAGGAGGAGGAGGAGGAGGAGGCGGAGGAGGAGAAGGGGGAGGAGAAGGAGGAGGAGGAGGAGGAGGCGGAGGCGGAGGAGGAGGAGGAGGAGGAGGGGGACGCCTCATGAGGAACGAAGGGGCTGTTCTGGCCACGGCGAGCCCGGGCCACGAATCGGCTCCCTGACCTACGGCTGGTTCGCGTCGTGGCGGCTTGCGCGTCGGTGCCTCCGGCACCGCTCGGATCGTTCCACCCTGTAGGATCGGGCCTCCCTTTCGGGGAGACGTAAGCCTTTGCTGCAGGGGACTCGGGTTGGCCTGACGGGGCCATATAAAAATGACGAGACCCAATCTCAAATTTGACGCGAGCTCTCGCTGCAAACATCCCACGAAAACAAACAGAAGGAAAAGGAATGGAGGAGGAGGAGGAGGAGGAGGAGGAGAAGGAGGAGGAGGAGGAGCAGGATGAGGAGGTGGGATGAGGGCGAGGAGGAGGAGGAGGAGAAGGAGGAGGAGGAGGAGAAGAGGATGCGGTCCCGAGACCCAGTGATGGGCCCCCGGAGGCCGAAAATAGCGCCAAACTTCCCGCTGCGTTTTTTTCGTTGCCCGAGGGGGTCTGGGGACCCTCAGAGATCGACGCAGCGTGTGCCCCAAGGTTTCTTGCAGCAGGGTTCCTTCTCGCATGGGCCTGCGGCGGAGGAAGAGGAGGAGGAGGGAGGAGGAGGAGGAGGAGGAGGAGGAGGAGGAGGAGGAGGAGGAGGACGGGTCGCCTAAGCCCTTCGGAGAAACCCTCCACCTCCCCCCCTCGGGGCCGCGCTTCCGCTGCACCCCTCCGCCGCGGCGAGGGCGCCCTCAGTGGCGGCCCGCTGCGGCGAGGGTGCCCCGGCGTGCGGAGGGTGCGGCAGCGCGGGCTCTCGAGGGCGCCTCCCCAGACATGACCGCATCGTGAGAAATCAGGATGGGAAGTTTCTGTGGCCGTTGTCCGCCCCCGGGAGCCCTCGCCGGGGGCCTCGGGACCGGGGACGAAACACCGGTCCCAGGGAAGGGGTCGGGACTTCCAGAGAACCCTCTTGAAAAAATCATAGCGTCGCATGTCTGGGCTCGGTGTCCACCGTCCCTCGACCTGCGCCTTCCGCGCCTTCCGCGCGGCAGGTGCTGCGCCGCCGCGGCTGCAGCGGCGGCCACCGTCGAGGCCGCAGCGGCGGCTGCGGCGACCTTGGTGGCCACATCGCGGCGGCGCCTTCCGCGCGAGGGTGCGGAAGGTGCAGGTCGAGGGTTCGCTCAGCCCGTCCTCCTCGCGCACCCCACAGGAGGGCGCCGGCTGCACAACTTAGCCTGCACTGACCCTTGGTGTCCAGGACCCCGCTGCGCCCAGGCCTTCTCAGAAGGCTCGGGAAGTCCCCAGGCCTTCTGAGAAGATCTCTGAGCCTTCCCCGAAGACACAGAACACGTCCCAGAAGGCGCGAGGGCTTCTGACAAGTCCCGCCGCCTCCTGAGAAGGCCTTCTCCTTCTCACTTCCCCCCTCGCTCGCCGCCTAGTACAGTTCGAGCCCTCCGACCCCAAGCCCGCCTCTGACGAGCGGGGTGCGTCGGCATGATCAGCGCGGGGGGGTGCGCCAGGAACGATGCTGCCAGCCTCCCAAAAGTGCGAAGAGGGGGGGGGGAGGCGGGGCAAATGGGAGGACGGGGAGCATGTAAGGGAGGAGGGGGAGCGAAGAGAGAGGGAGGAGGCAAGGGCGAACAGAGAGGGAGGAGCGAGGAGCGAGAGCGACGACTGAGGAGGGAGCGAAGCGGGAGTGGGGGAGAAGGACGGCGGAGACCCATGCCAGCAGGGCGCCCAGGCCAAAATAAACTGGGCGTTGTCGCCTTTTCGGCTTCCCGACGCTCCGCGACGGCCAACGAGGCCCCCAAGATCGGCCCAAGACGGTCCCAGAGGCCCCCAAGATGGCCCCGAGACGGCCCAAGAGGCGCCGAGGTCCCAAGAGGGCCTACAGACGGCCCCAAGAGTGGGCCAAGATGGGGAACCCGATCGGACATTTCGAGCCCTCGACGCCGAGGGGCCCTCTGGAGGCCCCAAAAGGCCACCACGAGGCCCCCAAGAGGCCCCAAGAGGCCCCCAAGAGGCTCCACGAGGCCCCCAAGAGGCACCCAGGAGGCCCCCAGGAGGCCCCCAAACTGCTCTCAATAGGTCCCCGATAGCGCTCAGAAGAGACCCGAGTAAGCACCCCTGAGGACTCTGACCCACAACCCAGGCACGGTGGCGGGATGGCCAGAAGGCCATCAGGACGGGCCCAAGGCCATTGATCATCGTCAGAATCGTCATCATCATCATCCTCCTCCTCCTCCTCCTCCTCCTCCTCCTCTTCCTCCTCCTCCTCCTCCTCCTCCTCCTCCTCCTCCTCCTCCTCCATCATCATCATCATCATCATCATCATCATCATCATCATCATCATCATCATCATCATCATCATCATCATCTTCATCGTCGTCATCAGCACCAGCATCAGCATCAGCATCAACATCATACTCAGCATCATCATCAGCATCAGCACCAGCCTCATCATCTTCGTCATCAGCATCATCATCATCAGCAGCCGCAGCAACATCATCACCATCACCATCACACTCACCCTCACCATCACCATCACTATCATCATCAGCAGCAGCAGCATCATCGTCATCAGGATCGTCACATTGATTATCATCGTAGTCATCATCGTCAGCAACAGCATCATCATCATCATCAGCCGCATCGAAATCATCATCTCCACCATCATCAGCATCATCATAGTCGCCATCATCATCAGCAGCATCATCATCCTCTTCTTGATCTCTATCATCATCAGCATCATCACCATTGTTATCGTCATCATCAGCATCATCGGCCCCATGATCCTCTTCATCATCATCATCATCATCATTATCACCACCATCACCACCACCACCACCATCATCATCATCATCATCATCATCATCATCATCATCATCATCATCATCATCATCATCATCATCATCATGAGCATCATCATCATCATCATCATCATCATCATCATCATCATCATAATCATCATCATCATCACCATCATCAGCATCATCATCATCCTCTTCCTCATCCTCATCCTCATCCTCATCCTCATCATTATCATTATCATTAGCATCACGATCATCATCGTCATCATCATCATCATCATCATCATCCTCATCCTCATCCTCATCCTCATTCTCATCCTCATCATTATCATTATCACCATCATCGTCATCACCACCATCGGTATCCTGCTCCCCCTCCTCCAGGGAGGACCCAGCTGTGAGAGACGCGGCGGCATCGGCGGGGGCGCGCGACCCATGAATCCCGAGGACGACGGAGCCCCAGCCCGCCTCCGCCACACTCTCACTTCTCCTGCATGTCTGAACCCAAACCCCCTGGCGTCGAGAACAAAACACAACGGAAGTTGTTCGCGAGCTGTGGCTTCCGGGGGCAGGGGGGGGGGGGGCCCTGGACGGGCCTCGAGGCCCTCGACAACAAGACTCGGAATGAAAAAGCTGGCTCCCTCGAAGGGGTCCACACCTCTGGGGGTCCACGCTAGGAACAAATCATGACGTCGGGGGCCTTGGAGTTTTGAACGACCGAAGTGGGCACGGACAAGCATGGGCACAATGCCCAAGCACAAAATGTTGTCCGAAACCGACAGCGGCCGCCGTCGGGCGGGCGGCCTTCTCCCTCAAATGGACAACAACGCCCGCGGCGCGGCGGCGCGGACAGCGAGCCCTGTCCAAAGTGAACAGCAGCTGATGTTGCAGAAGAAGGAAGAACGCCATCAACAAAAACTTTCGACGGTCCGCGCGGATTTCCTGGACCTGCGCTGGACCCCCCTCCCTGGCGCGCGGAGCGCCGCCGGGGGGGCCCAGCGCGGATCCAAGAAATCCGCGCGGAGCGCCAAAAGTTTATGTTGATGGCGTGTTTTCTTCCTCGATGTCGGGCATCGTGCCCACTCTTTCCGTGCCATGTCGCTCGTGCCGAGGGGTGGGGGCCGCCTCCCCCCCCCCGCAGCTCGAGCTCGTGCCTCCCGCGGCCGCGCGCAGGAGGAGGGGCCTCGGGCAGGAGAGGGAGCCTCTGGCAGCGCAGCTTCGGGGGGCCGCAGGGGGGGGCCAGACCCCAGCGCGCAGGCCAGCACTGGGTGGGGGACCCCTGCGGGCCCGCCCGCACCAAGGGCCACGCCAGCGAAGGGCCACGCCAGCGAAGGGCCACGCGTACCCCGACATCCGCCGACGGGGCTGTGTCAATCCGCGGCCCCGGGGGTCTCAGACCCCGCGCCGCGAGAACTGGCCCCGAAGGGGGTCCCCGGAATCTGGGCACGCGCAGTGGACTCCAGGGAAGAGCCCCTGCGGCTGGCCCCCCCTGACTGCGGATCCGCCGCGGATTTTCCGAATTGGACACGTTTCGGAAATGCACCCCAAACGAGGCGCGAAGACATAGGGCGGCATGATCCGTCTCAGAGCAGTGGGGCCGCAAGAGCATGGTGGAAACGGCGACGGCGAACCCGCCCTGCTTGCGACATCGCCCAGAAAGTACGGTTGGACCTAGGACAGAAGAACACCCTTCGAGAACACGAGACCCTCCGCCGGCCGAAGCGGAAGAACCTCCGAGGCTATACCCTCCACCAGGAGGCACAAGGACGTCCAACAAGCACGAAAAACCTTAGGGTACCGAGCCGACCTCGATCTTATACCTCCCCAGAGATCCGATGTCTTGATCCCTTCAATACGGGGTTCCCGGACGTCTCCACCCCTTCCCCAGGGCCAATATTTGATCCTGAGTCGTTTTTGACGGTCCCGAGTCTCCGCGAGGGCCCCCCCGAGGCCGAAAGCGGGCAAAACCCTCCCGCTCTGATTTCTGCTTTGCGGCGCGTTCCTGCCTGGGTCGATCCTCCTCGATCCTCGGTCCTCCTCGATGATCGAGGAGGACCGAGGATCGAGGCTCGATCCTCTCGATCCTCCCCGATCCTCGACCTGGGACACCTCGGGCCGACCGTGCGGCGGCTCCGAAGCCCGGGGGCCCCCGCCGCCCCTGCGGCGCCCCGCGGCCTTGTGCGCGACCACCTCCGCCTGCCAGCCGCCTCCGCCGCGGGGCCCGCTGGCCAGCGCCGCGGCGCGCGGCCGCCGCGGGCCCGGCCGCCGCCGCGGCGAGGCGAGGCCGCCGAGGCCGGGCCGCCGCGCTCGGCCGCCTCGCCGAGGGCCGCGCGCCGACGGCCGCCGAGGGCCGAGCGCCGACGCCCGCCGCGGGCCGCCGGCCGCCGACGAGCGCGCCGCCGACGGCCGCCTCGCGGAGGCCGCCGAGGGGCCGCCGCTGGCCGCCGGAGGCCGCGCGCGAGGGGCGGGAGGAGGGGGGCCCTGCACGAGAGGCCCTCGGAGCCGGGCGTGGCGAGCGAGAGGCCTCCTGCAGGGGGTCGCGCCGCACCGCCGGCGCATCGGCGGCGTATCGGCGCTGCCTCGCCGATGCACCAGCGATGCATCGCCGACGTGGGCGACGCACATCGGGGACGTCAACGTGCAGCAAATCGGGCTCCACATCGAGCCGCATCGCCGATGCGGTTCGATGCGGCACCATCCTCCCGCCCATGCCCATACGACCACACTTCGGGTGGTAAGGAGGGGCGTGCGGCGGGGGTCAACTGTCGGTGCGATTGAGGTCGGATCGGATTCGGCGGAAACCAGTTGGGCACCACGGAGCACCCGTTTGGCTATCGATCTATCGATCTCATTCTCTGTTTACCTGTCGATCTCACCACCGACTTCCCTCTATGTCAATCTCACGACCTATCGATCCCACAATCGACACCACCATCGATCTCACTACGTATCGATTTGTCGATGGATCCCACTATCGACCTCACTATCGACCTCACTATCGACCTCACGGGACACCACGGGACACCGCGCCACGAGACACCACGGAACACCACAGGACGCCCCGGCACGCCGGCGGGGCGCCCCCGATCCACCTCTGGCCAGCCCGGGGGGCGCAGAGTCAATGAGATCAGCATCGCCCTGGCCCCACGGAACACCACAGGACGCCCCGTCACGCCGGCGGGGCGCCCCCGATCCACCGCTGGCCAGCCCGGGGGCGCAGAGTCAATGAGATCAGCATCGCCCTGGCCGAATATATCTTCCCGTGTTTTCTCGGCCGTCGTCCTCCCCCCCGATTTCCCATGACTTCCCATAGGCATCTTCCTGGGAGTCGACGATGAAGTGTGTCTGTGTGTTTGTCTCGGGCCAGGCGAAAGGGGGAGATAGCAAAGGGGGGGTTTGAGAGTCATCTCACGTAGCTGATTTTCCCGGCGCCTCCCGGCGCCGGGAGGCGCCCATGTAACGAGGAATGGGCCCGGCGGCGGGGCCGAAACCAGCTGCATGCAGCAGATTTCGTAACCCCCCCTTTCCCTGTCCCCCCCTTTCGTTCGGCCCGATTGTCCCCTCCTGGATCGCAGGACCGGCGGCGCGCGGAGTGGCCGGCCTGTTTGCCCCCACCGAGGCCGGGCGGGCCCAGGCCGCGGCGCGGAGCCGCCTCAGGCGCCCGCGCCGCCAGGGGGTGCTCGGAAGCCACATGCGAAGCCTACCCCATGAGGAGGAGGAGGAGGAGGAGGAGGAGCAGGAGGAGGAGGAGGAGGAGGAGGAGGAGGAGGAAGAGGAGGAGGAGGGAGGAGGAGCAGGAGGAGGAGGAGGGAGGGAGGGAGGAGGAGGAGGAGGAGGATGAGGAAGAGGAGGAGGAGGAGGAGGAGGAGGAGGAGGAGGAGGAGAGTGGAAGACTAGCTGGGCGGCTCGCGCCGCGGCCCGGCGAGGAGCAACGACGCACGCAGCTTCTCGAGGGCGTCCCTCTCGGTCGTTCGAAGCTCCTTTGCGCCGGGACCTCCAGAGCGAAGTGAACCCCGCCTCCCCCCTGAGAAATCGTGGGGTGGGGTAGGGTTCGCATGTGGCCTCCCAGGGTGCGGCCGCAGCGGGCGCCTCTGGCAGAATGTGGACCAGGACAGAGCACATGGCGCCGAGCCCCGCGTCTGCTGCCTCGCCGGTCGCCTCTGGGCGCGCGGCACCGAACTGCGCCGCGTACTGCGGGGCCACATCGTGAAGCTGGGCCCGCCGGCGGGCCTCGACGAGGCACCCCGCGCGCAGCTCGCACCAGTCCACCCGAAGAAGCGCATGCAGGAGAAGAAACAAGCTGCCCTGAACATGAGCCCTCGAAGGTCCGCGCGGCCTTCATTCCTGGATCGGCGCCGGGCCCCTCTCTGGCCCTCCTGGCGCAGGCCAGGGCCGATCCGAGGAGCCCGCGCGGACCTTTGAGAGTGCATGCTTAGGCTGCCCTTTTCTTCCTCGAGCATCGGCCACGCACCTGGGCACGAACCCAGCCCCTCCGGGCCGCAGGGGCTCCTGGTTGCTCCCAGCCTCCAGGAACTGGCCCTCGTCCACGCCGAGCCTCCAGCTCACGGGCCCGTTCTGCAGGAGCAGCGCGGAGTCGAAGGGCCGCGTGACGAAGAAGAAGCCGCAGACCTCGCTGCCCCGCCGCAGCACCGCAGAGGTGGGCGGCCCCTGGCGAAGCACCGCGAGCAGGTCTGAGCCGTCGCGGCACTCGGACAGGTCGCGGTACGGCTGGAAGCCCAGCAGGGTCAGCTCCACCCGGACGCCACGCTGCAGCTTGCTGTCCAGGTCGAGCTCCCGCTCCGGAACCTCGTCCTCCAGGATCGCCAGCCTCTCCTCGTCGATGTGGTACTGAAGCTGCGGCAGCCCGGCGACGCTCGCGTGGGAGCCCAGCTCATCGTAGAACGCCTCCACCGACGGCCCGAGCATCGGCTGATCCACCTCAAACAAGGTGCGTTCCCCAGGCTTCATCGTGCGCACGGCCAGGTCGAGTCCTCTGTACATGCCAGGATCGCCCAGCCGCCAGCGCACGGGCCCCTTCTTGACCGTCGGGTGGAAATCGCCTATCAGGCGGGGCGCCTTCCTGGCCTCCTGGTCGAAGAAATCCCACCAGCCCTTTAGTGTTCGTGGGCTCCGCGAGCACTCTGCATGATTCCACTCATCCAAAATTCTCTGCATACGCACACACACACACACACCGCAGCATCTCCTCCTCCTCCTCCTCCTCCGCCTCCTCCTGCTCCTCCTCCTCATCCTCCGACGCCTCCTCCTCCTCCTCGTCCTCCTGCTTCCCTCTCTCTTCCTCACTCACACACCCACACACCCACACACCCACGCACTCATCATCATCATCATCATCATCATCATCATCATCATCATCATCATCATCATCATCATCATCATCATCATCATCATCATCATCATCATTATCATCATCATCATCATCAGCATCATCATCATTCCCCTTCATCATCATCATCAGCATCATCAGCATCATCGTCACCATCATCATCAGCATCATCATCATCATCACCATCATCATCAGCATCAACATCATCATCATCATGCTCGTCATCATCAGCATCATCATCATCATCATCACCATCATCATCATCATCGTCATCATCATCATGATTCTCCTCCTCCTCCTCATCATCATCATCACCACCACCAGTAGCTTCAAAATCAGCAGCATCAGCATCACCAACATCACCAGCATCATCATCGTCTCCACCACCACCATCATCATCATCATCAGCAGCACCACCACCACCACAAGCATCATCATCAGCAGCATCAGCATCATCAGCATCATCATTAGCACAAGCATCATCATCCTCATCATCATTATCATCATCATCAGCATCAGCACCGTCATCATCTTCATTATCATCATCATCATCATCATCAGCAGCAGCAGCATCGCATCATCGTCATCATCGACATCGTTCCCCACATGAGCACCTCGCGCGGGAACACACCCACTCATTCGCACACACCTCATCATCACCATCATCAGCATCATCAGCATCATGCACCCACTCGCACTCAAACATTCACTCATCACCACCACTCAGCATCATCATCATCATCAGCATCATCAGCATCATCAGCATAATCATCATCATCATCAGCATCAGCATCAGCATCATCATAGTTACCATCATCTTCACCATCACCATCACAATCACTACTCATGACCACTCATCACCGCTCATCATCACCCATCGCCACTCATCATCACTCATCATCACATACACACTCACAGACTCACGTACCCACCTTGAGGGAAGTCTCAGGCGGGAGCCCCCTCCCTGTGGGGCCCGCGCTTCATGTTGGTAATTCGAGCGGGTCATCGGAAACATCTACCAGGCATAACACTTGAGCACCCCAAGGGGGCAAATCGTGAGGATGTCTCGAGCGGGGGCCTGGTTTGTGAGTGAATTGCGAAGAAGTCCCAGGCGGGAGCTCCTTCCTTGTGAGGCCCGTGCTTCATGATGGTAATCCGAGCGGTCATCGGAAACATTCACCAGGCATAACACTTGAGCACCCCAAGGGGGCACATCGTGAAGATGTCTGAAAGAGCGTGTTCTACCGCTGCTGGCGGCAAACTGGGGGGGGTCACTACCGATTCGAACCCCTCCCCCCCCCTCCGGAAAACCGGGGGGGGTCATACCCCTCCCCCCCCCCTCCAGTTCATCATGAAAAGGGGGGGGGGGTCACAACTGGTTCGAACCCCCCCCCCGGGGGGGTCACTACCGGTTCGAACCCCCCCCCCCCTCGAAAACCGAGGGGGGGTGCGGACAGTGGTGGGGACGGTGGTGGTGGGGACAGTGGTGAGGGGACAGCGGGACAGTGGTGGGGACAGTGGGACAGTGGTGGGGACGGTAGTGGTGGGGACAGTGGTGAGGACAATGGTGGGAACAGTGGGGACAGTGGACAGTGGTGGGGACTGTGGTGGTGGGGACAGTGGTGTGGGGACAGGTGGAGGTGGAAACAGTGGGACAGTGGAGGGCACAGTGGTGGTGGGGACAGTGGTGAAGGCGGTGGCGAGGACGGCGGTGGGACAATGGGACAGAGGTACAGTGGGGACAGTGGTGGGGACAGTGGGGACAGTGGTGGGAACAGTGGGACAGCTCAGTGGGACAGCGGAGGAGTCAGTGGGACGGTGGGGATAGTCGGGCAGTGGTTGGGGCCGTGGAGAAAGTGGGGAGAGTGGAACCGTAGTGGGAACAGTGGTGGGGACAGTGGGGACAGTGCGACAGTGGTGGGAGCACTGGTGGGGACAGTAGGGAAGGTGGTGGAACCAGCGGGGACAGTGGTGGTAAGGACAGTGGTGCTGGGAACAACAGTGGGGGATGTGGCGCGGACGGTGGTAGGGACCGGGAGTCATTTGCTGGCGGTGAGGGGGGGGGGTTGGGGAGGGGTTCGAAATCGTGTTAGTGACCCCCCCTCCGGTTTTCGAGGGGGGGGGGGGTCGAACTGGTAGTGACCCCCCGGTTTTCGAGGGGGAGGGGGGGGGTGGGGGGGGGGGGGAAGGTAGGGGGGGGGGGGGTTTGCGGGGGAGGGAAGGGGGGGGGGGGGGGTCAACAGGGGGGGAGGGATTTTCGGAGGGGGGGGGGGACCCCCGGGTTCCCGAGGAAGAGGGGTGCAATTTTCCACAGTAAAGCGGCGGTGGATCACGCTCTCTCAGATGTCTCGAGCGGGGGCCTGGTTTGTGAACAAATCGCGAGGAAGTCTCAGGCGGGAGCCCCCTCCCTGTGGGACCCGCGCTTCATGATGGTAATCCGAGCTGGTCATCGGAAGCATCTACCAGGCATAACACTTGAGCACCCCACGGGGGCAACTCGTGAAGATGTCTCGAGGGGGGGTCTGGTTCGTGAATGAATTGCGAAGAAGTCCCAGGCGGAAACTTTCTCCCTACGGAGCCCGCTCTTCATGTTGGTAATTCGCGGTCATCGGAAACATTCACCAGGCATGGCACGTGAGCACTCCAAGTGGGCGCATCGTGACGATGTCTCGAGCGGGGGCCTCGTTTGTGAGTGAATTGCGGATATGTCTCAAGCGGGAGACCCCCTCCCTATGGGGCCCCCACTTCATATTGGTACCTGGGCTCCTCTGGCTTCAACCTGCCCTCCCTGTAGGGTCCCCGCCTCCATATTGGAATCCGAGCGGGGTCATCCAAACTTTGTAACTGCGCCATTTTTGGGCTCCCCAAGCTGAAATATGAAGGATGTCTCGAGCAGGAGCCTCGTCAGTGAGTGAATCGCGAGGAAGTCTCGAGCGGAAGCTCTCGGGAAGCCTCAATGTAACAGGACCCCCAGGAGGCTTCGGGAAGCCACGGAAAGCTTCAGGATGCCCCAGAAGGCACCAGGAGGCCCTGGAGGCCGCATGAGGCCTGAACGCTACCAGGAAGCCCTAGGAGTCTCAAGGAGTTCTCCAGGAAGCCCCGGGAGGCCCAGGGAGGTCCTGGGAGTACCCCAGGCCCCAGGAGGCGGCCAGGGCAGAAGGCGGAGGCCAGAGCTCCAGGAGCGCCCGGAGGCTCCAGGAGACAACAGGAGGCCCCAGGAGGCCTCGGGAGCAGGCAGGAGGCTCAAGGAGGATGCAGGACGAGGTCAGGGGAGAGGCAGGACGAGGATGAGGATGAGGACGAGGACGAGGAGGAAGGAGGGGAGGAGAAGGGGGAGGAGGAAGAGGAGAAGGAGGAGGAGGAGGAGGCAGGCAGGAGGAGGAAGAGGAGGAGGAGAGAAGAGAGGAAGAGGAAGGGGTGGAAGGAGGAGAGGCAGGAGGATGAGGAAAAACAGAGGAGGAGGAGGAGGAGGAGGGGACGAGGAGGAGGGGGACAAGACGAGGGGGAGGAGAAGGAGGAGAGCGAGGAGGAGGAGGAGGACGAGGAGGAGGAGGAGGAGGCAAAGCTTGGCCAGAACCAGAACCCCATCTGGAGCTCCCGCCCCCGGTGGCGTTTTTCTGATTTGGGGAGGGGGCCCTGCCGCGGCTCACTGGCTGAGTGGATCGCAGCCCAGTCAAGGAGTGACAAATTCTGGGGGGCCCCCTCCGAGGGGCTCCGCCATGTGGACACCGCCCTTCAGGTAGGCAAGAGGCAAGAGGAGGACGAGGAGGAGCTGGATGAGCAGGAAGAGGAACAGTGCCCTGGGAGGCTCTAGAGGCACAACAGGGCTCCAGGACGCTCCGGGAAACTCCAGAAGGCGCCCGGAGGCCCCAGAAGGAGGCAAGAGGCACGAGGTGGGGGAAGAGGAGGCAAGAGAAGGAAGAGGAAGCCGGAGGAGGAGGAGGAGGAGGAGGAGGAGGAGGAGGAGGAGGAGGACGAGGAGGAGGCAGGAAGAGGAGGAGGAGGAGGAGGAGGAAATGAAATCGATGGAGGAGGAGGCGGAGCAGCAGCACCAGGTAGTAAGAGGCAAGAGGCAGGAGGAGGTATGGGGAGGAGAAGGAGGAAGAGGAACAGGAGGAGGAGGAGGAGGAGGAGGAGGAGGGGAGGAAGAGGAGGAGGCGTGGCGCGCCTGGCACACCTCGCCCCAGCGACACGCACATAGGGTCTGTTTTGGTTTCCGGTAGCTTCCATTCATCGACGACCGCTGAACATGCTGAGGCTCGGGTGCTACTTATGTGTTGGGAGGGCGAGTGGGAGTGAGCAAGGCAGCTTGCAGGCGGGGAGGGTGTCTTGATCCCCCCTGCCCCCATACCCCTGGACCTGGACGGGGGGGTCGCGAGGTGTCAGAGAGTCTTTCTTGGCCTCGGCGAGAAAGCCAAACTCACGTATCTGACTAAAAGTTGGCTAAACATTGGCCTCCTGGCGGGCGGGCGGGATTGACTACGGTTCCTCCTTTGATCGATCGACTACGGTTTCTCCTTTGATCGATCTCTTCCAAGATCCTCCTCCTCCTCCTCCTCCTCCTCCTCCTCCTCCTCCTCCTCCTCCCCCTCCTCCTCCATCCTCCCCCTCTTGGAGTATGACGTCTTACCCAGCCCTTTATTCCACTGCATGCTCCTCCACGTCCCTGGTCAGGGTAACGCGTCAGTTCATTGTTTCGGGGGTGGGCTGGTGGGGTTACTTTTTCCGTCGCAGCCGCAGGCGAAGGTGCACAGCGGCGTCACAAGTCAGCTCGGGCTACGAGCAAACCTAATTAACCCAGCGCGCGCACTGGCGGCTGCAGAACTACCGCCGAGGGACGCTGAGCTGCGCCGAGGGCTGAAGCTGCAGGAGCTGCCAGGAGAGCCAGGCCAGCGTGCGGGCATCGCAGAGGCGAGACCACCAGGAAAACGAACGAATTATACCCTGTCGCGCCAAGTGGTGGGGTTACGCGAAGCGTCTAGCATGGACCATCTCCATGGTTTCCACGAGCTCCTTGCGGGCCTCCCTGGTCTGTGGCCGCGGCTTGTACTCTTTGCTATTGTACAGCTCCTCGCCGCCGAACGACCAGATAATCATCTGGCACGTGACCACCACCTTCTCCGCTCCTCCCCGATCGAGCCACGCGGGCCGCAGCCAGGAGGGCCTCTCGTCGGGGTCACCCTCGCCGTAGTCCTCCGTGCGCAGCTTCCGCACGGTGCCGTCAGGGCAGAGTTCCTCCAAGCCCGCCGCTATGTCTGGGGGCGCGCCGAAGAGGGGGCGGGGGGAGGAGGGGGGGGAGGGCCGGAAGAAGGAGGAGGAGGAGGAGGACGAGGAGGAGGAGGAGGGGGTCAGCGTTTCGTGGCCCGAGGCAGGTGCACGCTTACCATGGGGGAAAGCTGGACAGGGGAAGCTCCTCCACCTCCTCCTCCTCCTCTCCTCCTCCTCCCTCCTCCTCTCCTCCTCCTCCTCCTCCCCATGCCTTCTCCTCCTCCTCCTCCTCCTCCTCCTCCTCCTCCTCCTCCTCCTCCTCCTCCTCCCCCTCCTTCTTCCGCTTTTCTGCTCCTCCGGATGAGGAACGAAGGGGCGCTGCTGGCCACGGCGAGCCTCGGCCACGGAGAGCTCCCCCGACCCAGCTCTGGGGAACGGCTCGCGGGCCGGAGCCCCCTCCGGAGCCCCAGAGTGGTCCGGAACACCTCAGCGCCCTGACTGCTCCGACAAGAGCAGGGGAGCTGCGAGAACGGCGCCCATTGACCGCACCACGCCTGGCCTCCGTTCAGGCCCCGCTCCAACGTGGTACAGTGCACAGTTTGTGGGCTCCTGAGGGCCGACAGACTATGCACCGTACCACTCCTGGGTCGAAGATCGACAACGCCTCGGGAGACGCCAACGCGGTACGGTGCATGCATGTCGTCCGCGGAGGAGCGGGCCTTGAACACGGGGGGACTGCATGGCCCCGACCGCGACAACCACCCCCTTCCCAGCCCCAAACCACCCTCTCGGACGCCCCCGGCTGTCGCTCACGACCCCCCCGAAGATCCTCCGGTCCTTGCCCAGCTTGTCCCACGTGCTCCGCAGCATCTGGAAGGCCTCGCTGTTCCGTGGGTTCAGGCTCACCAGCTTCAGGAGGTCTGCCTCGCACTTGCCCCACCAGGAGAGGGCGCACGACGCCCTCGCCCGCCTGAAGAGCGCCTTCTCGTTGCACGGGTCGCTCACGAGGACCTTGTCCAGCAGCTCCATGGCCTTCGCCCAGCTGCCGGCCTGGATGTGCAGCTGGGCCAGGTTGTTCCTGAGGAGCGCGATGAGCTTGACCGCCTCTTCGGGCGGCTCCCCGAGCGACAGCAGGCTCTGGACCCCCGCCTCCCACTCGCGCTCCGCCGCGGCCACGTCTCCTGGTGGAACCAAATACCGATACCGCAACTCCCCAGACCTCTCCCGGGGTGGGTTCTGACCAGAATTTCGAGTCGAATCCAGCGGTGACGACGGGGGCCTCCGAGGAGGCTCAAAAAGGGGAAAACGAGGAAAGGGTAGAGGTATGGGTACCTGTTCATCCTCGGATCTCCAGCGAGGAAGGCCGCGTTACCCCGCGCCTTCAGCGTGGCCTCCACGCGGGCCGTGAAAAAGGCCTCGTAGGTGGCAAACCGACGGCCCCGCGCCCAGGCGAGGTCCGCGGGCCTCTCCCGGAGCCGGCGCTTCCGCGCCTCCTCTCATGGGCCGATGCCCCACCACCACTACCATAGGTAGGAGAGGGAGGAGGAGGAGGAGGAGGAGGAGGAGGAGGAGGAGGAGGAGAAGGAGGAGGAGGAGAAGGAGGAGCAGGAGGAGGAGGAGGAGAAGGATGAGGAGGAGGCGAGGAGGAGGAGGAGGAGGAGGAGGAGGAGGAGGAGGAGGAGGAGGAGGAGGAGGAGGAGGGAGGGGGAGAAGGAGGAGGCGGAGGGGGAGGGAGGAGGAGGAGGAGGAGGAGGAGGAGGAGGAGGAGGAGGAGGAGGAGGAGGAGGAGGAGGAGGAGGAGGAGGAGGAGGAGGAGGAGGAGGAGGAGAAGGAGGAGGAGAACCTCCCCATCCTCCCCTCGCCCCCGTCCTGCCCATCGGGCAGTGGTGGTGGAGCAGCGGCCCATCGTCCTCCTCCAGCCGCCGCTCCTCCGCCGCCCTCTCCAGGCGCTCCCGCGCGGCCAGCACCGCCCGCTTCTCCGGCAGGGTCAGCTCCTGCCAGTCGGCGCCGCCCGCCGCGAGCCGCTCCTCGCGGCCCTCGGCGCCGACGGCGTCGAACCTGCTGTAGTCCAGCGGGTCGCCGGGCATGCGGGCGCGCCGCGGCCGGGCTGCGCGGGGGGGGGGGGGGGCCGCCGCCCCCCGCCGAAGGGGGGCCCTCTCGCCCCGCTCGGCCCGACGGGCCCGGCCGCGGAGGCACGCGCGGCCCTCCCTTCCCTCCCTATGTCTGTCTCCCTCTCGTCTCCCTCCCCCTCTCCCTCCTCCCTCCCTCCTCTCTCCCTCCCTCCTCCCTCCCGCTCTCCCTCCCTCTCGCTCTCCCCCTCCCTCTCCCCCTCCCTCTCCCTCTCCCTCTCCCTCTCTCTCTCTCTCTGTCTATCTGTTTCTCTCCCTCTCGCCTCTCCGCCACCACCGTGCCGGCACGGATTGGGCGTGTTAGACTGCGCTTCAGTTTTCTGGTGAGGTCTTCGAATATGTTTTCTAGGGCCGCCCCTCCCCCACACCCACCGCTAGCGTGCTCTGAAAATCGCCGCCCCACCCCCCTCCCCCCCGAATTTGCTCTCTGGCACTATTGTCGGCCTCCAGCCGGAAAGGATGGCCTCCAAGACCGCGTCCAAGGCAGCAAAGATGACACCTAGACGGCCCAAGATGGTCCAAGACCGCTCAAAAGGCTCCCTAGACGGCCCCAAGACAGCTCCAGGAAAGCCCGGGGAGGTACAACCATTGATTTTCCTTTGGTGTTAGATTTTGAAGTTTTTGCCTGTTCGGGTTTGCAACCGCCCAAGATGGCCCAAGATGCCTCCAAGATAGCTCCCAGTCAGCCCAAGAGGCCCCCAGGAGGCCCCCAAAAGGAGCCCAAGAGGAGCCCAAGAGGCAACAAAGAGGCCCCCAAGAGGCCCCAACAGGCCCCTCAGAGGTACTCAAGACGCCCCAAGAGGCTGTGAAGACAGTGCTTCCAAAAGGCCGCCCAGGCGGCCCAAAAGGCCACGAAGAGCCGCCAGGAGGCCCCCAAAACGGCCCGGGAGGCCTCCAAGTGGTCGCGAGAGAAAGCCCAGAAGACTCCGAGAGGCATCCAAGAATCCTCTGGCCCACGGATGCTTCCCGAGCTCTCCAAAGTATGCTACGCTCCCCCAATAAGGACAGCTCCCTTGGGCAGCATCGTTCCTCGATGGGTTGGTGAAGATACTTGTCCCGTCGCGGCCGCAGGCGAACGCGCCAGCAGCGTCAGAGGTCGGGCGGCTGGTGAGGATACTTTTTTGGTTCGCGGCTCCAAGGCGAGGGACTTGAAGCGGGTCAACGTCCGGGGCGCGGTACGAAGATAATTGGCCGCAGTGGCGAATGCACGTGCCAGGGACAAAGTGACCCTCATTAAGACGCAGACGGCGTCGGCAGGTGACCGGCTCCGACATCCCGGCAGGTGGGGACGCAGAGGCGCGGCGACCGGCGGCGGAACGGAGGGGAGAAGTCGCCCTTTCGGCGCCAAGCTCCAGCCGAACCACAAACGGGGGCGAGGCCAGGACGGACAGCGCGGCACAGTAAAGCTGAAGGCGGAACGAAGGGTCCGAATGGCCACTGGCCAAACGAAGCCAACAAGCGTGCACACAGAGACGGGCTGCCCAAGACCACGGCAGAGGGGAGGGGGAGGGAGCAAAAGCGAGCGACAACCAAAGGCTCACTGCAGCACACCGCGTAAACGATGGCGCGGCAAAACGGGGCCTGACTCATCATGGCTCACTGAAGCTGAGGTGTAGCTGAAACCCGTCAGAGCGCCATCCAGTAGAGGAGGACCACTGGTGTGCGTTCACGAGGCTGAGCCACCTCCAGCCGGGGCCAGGTGAGGATACGCGAAGCGTTAAGAGTTCAAATTCGGTGCTGCTACCCTGTTGAATACACACATGTATCTATATATATATATATATATATACTAGAACCACGCGCGCGCTTCGCGCGCGCTTAGGTTCTGTCGAGTTACAGACCCAGGAATCGCTGCGAGAAGAAATTGGCGACGCGAAGTCGAAGCCAATCTGGCGTTAATCTAGCGGCCCATATCGGGCAGCAAATTGCAATTTGGCGGGGGAGCCAGCGAGGTAACAGACTGGCGAGCAAGTAGAAATCTCCAACCTGGCCACGCCAGAGTGGCCCTGGATCCCAAGGCAATCTGTCAGTCTGGCCTTCGGCTACCCAGGAGAAGGGCGAGACTCCCTCCTTCTCCTCCCTCATCCCTCCTCCCTCCTTATCCTCCTCCTGCTCCTCCTCCTCCTCCTCCTCCCCCTCCTCCTCCTCCTGCTGTTCCCCCTCCGGGTGAATTGGATACACTGGGGGGCCATATGAGCGAACCGTTAGAACCGTTATTTCCACGACCGAAGCTGAGTCCAGGCAAGGACCTGCTCTCTCAAGCCCGCACGTGGCATTGACGAAGCAGCCAAGTTCCAACCGCCCTGATCGGTTAGAGCGAGGAGGGGGGGGGATGAGGGCGCGGAGGAGGAGGAGGAGGAGCAAGAGTACGTCGAGGAGGAGAAGGGCGCCACTTGACTCTCGTGCCAGCTGCGCGCGGCTCTCTGCGCAAGGGATGGCGATATGAGAATATAGTTAGCTTGCCTGGGAATGCCCCTCTGCCCCCTTCCTTCTCTCTCATGATCATGGCCTCGTCCCTGTCGTCCCGCTTGCTAGTCCTCCTGCCTGAATCCTGCGCCCCCCCCCCCTCCTTCTTCTCTCCCTCCTCCTCCCCCTCTTTCCCCACTTGCCACCTCCACCACCACCGCCGCCGTATCTTCCGTTTCCTCACTGCCCAAGCCGCCGCGCGACAGAGGGCGCGCGACAGCTCTCAGCGCGGCCAGTTATCTGGCAATCCGCCCCCGCCGACGCAAGGTGCAAGCGCGACGCCATATCTGTAGTAGTGCATGATATACGCACACGTAAGTGGTCGGAGTGCATATATGTTTTGAATTTGGCTGACGCGAGTTTGTGACGTTGGGGTTTGCGGGGTTGCGCCAGCGTGACTGAGAGCACGGGGTTAATCTTCTCGACGCGGCAAGCGTTGCAAGATCTACCGCAAGGATAATGAATCCGCAGCCCGCTCGAGGTGCGCGCGCGCATGAGACATTCAATTGTCTGGTACGTGTGGCTCACCGTGTGTTTTTTCAAGCAGATGGTCCGGTGTGGACACTCGGAAACGGAAGGAATGGCCACATTGTCCCAACCGGCGTCGTTCGACCTGCAATGTCGGTGGGAAATCGTGTGCGTGTGTGACGTTGTAGGGCGGGGGGAATCGCGAAGCGGCGTTGCTCTCTCGAAGCTCGCTGGTCCGGTCAGCAAGGCACTCTACTGTCTGGTCCGCCATCGCATCGTAGAAGCGAAGCAAGGGCGTTCTGGTAGCTTCGAAGCCGAAGCCAGTCACAATAGGTATGAAGCGCCCTAAACATCGTTTCGTGGATGGGCGGAGGGGGGCAACTGACGCGTGAGCGCCTCCAAGCAGCATGCCCGCGTTCTGGGCATTGTGGCGGAATGTGCCAAAGGCGAACAGAAAAGCTAGGCACGCTCGGGTTACCCTTTGCGCCGCGTAAGTCACTGCGACCGCCAGGTTGCACAACATCAGAGGCCAGTCAGTGTCCGCTCGCTTCGAATTGGAAGCTACCACGCACTGGAAACAAGTCGGCGCGATGGCAGCCAGAGGATACAATCCTTACTATACTGTCCTCGTGGCGCGTCGTCGACGACGTCGCTGCAACCGTCGCCGCGGTCGTCGAGCTGCCGGCGCCGACGTCGACATCGTCCACCGCGTCGGCGCCCAGGTCGTCGAGAGGGAAAATAAGAAAGCGGAACAGCGATTCACGCCACTTCGACGCCGAACGCTAGAAGGCAGGAAAGGGATGACAATCGAAAAGAAAAACTAACGTTGACGACGAGAGGGAAGAAAGGGCGAACATGGCGGAATGGCGGCGGCCGACGCAGTGTTTGGGAACGGATCTGGTGCGGTGGTTGAGGAAAAGTCCCGCGCCCATCCAAGCGTTCGCCTCAAGGCTGCTGGAACCAACTCTTCGCTAAAGAACCGCCGACCCTGGCAGGGTCTCCCGGGCTTGCGAGCTCTCGTCCTGTCAACATTACGTCGCATCCGGAGGTCGTTTATGGCAAGGCCCCCGGAGTGCTCGAGAGAGCTCCACGGGTGACCACGGGGGCCTTTACCCCCTCCTCCCTCCTCTTCCTCCTCCTCCTCCTCCTCCTCGTCCTCCTCCTCCTCCTCCTTCCTCCTCCTCCTCCTGCCTCTCTCCAGGGGAATGAAAACCAGGGGATACCTCACGGAGAGCCCAAAGTTTCCCACTACATGGTCTCAAGACAGCCCCGAGAGAGTTCCAATAAGGCTCCAGGAAGGATCCAAGTCCGCCCCAGCATCGGTCACGCGAAAGAGTTCTCGTGTGACCGATCTTGGGTCTTTGTTTCAGCCACCTTTGAACTCATAAAGGAATCCACGACGGCTCCAAGACGGCTCCGAAAATGCCCCAAGAGGGACTCAAGAGGGCTCCAAGGGAACCCAAACATCGGTCACGCGAAAGAGCGTTCGCGCGACCGATACGAGACCCCTTTTTTTGCTACTTGGAGTCCCACTGGGGGTCGAAAGTGGCCCCAAGAGCCACTCGAGAGAGTCCTAACAGGACCCCGAGGGAGCTCCAAGGTCGCCCAAGAGCGACCCAACAGGGTTCCAAGAGGGCTCCAACATCGGTCACGCCAAAGAGTTCCCGCGTGACCGATCTGAGGACTTTTTCCTCCCGTCTTCGACATCCAGTGGGGGCCGAAACTGGACCCAGGAGAGGCTCCAGAGAGCCCTAAGAGAACCTCAAGAGGGCTCCACGGGTGCCCAACACGGCCTTGAGGAAGCTTTGAAACCCCTCCCGAAAGGGCTCCATGTCGAGAGGGGTGCGGCCCACGCGCTCTCGGCGGCGGCGGCGGCAAAGTGTGCCTCGAGACGGCCACTGCGTTCAGACTCCGGAGAGGGGTCCGACTCCTCCTCTGCCTCCGCCTCCACCTCTTCCTCTGCCGCCTTCCTCCTGCTCCTCCGCTCCCTCCTCCCCCGCCTCGTCCTCTTCCTCCTGTTCCTG